ATTGAAAAATAAAATATGTGAGAAAAATATTATTTAAGTGTATAAATAATAAAAAATAAAAATATATAATATTTACAAGTTTTTATTTAAGAAAATAAAAGTATATTATTATAGTAATTATTTTTATGTCCAAAAATTAATTAAAAAATAATAAAATAAAATGTGAAAATTTAAGAAAACAATTTTAGTGATTTTTTATATTTAGAAAAAATAATTAAAGTCAGAAATGAAAAAGAAATAGAAAAATATACAAAAATAATCAAATGGGCCAAGGGGGTGTAAACAACAAGCTAAGGGGTGCAAATAGCAAGACAAACTAAAGCCCAGCCCAATATCACTTCATCCCTGTCCTTGTGAAACAGAAAAACGTGCGCCAATGGTTCAAACTCATACCTCCTGCATTTATGCCTAAAAACAAAAACTTGCAACATGAAAGTTATAGAGCGTGATCATACGATTCTAACCATATAAAAAACTTAATCTAACTCTCAAAGACCAGAGAGAATTTCTCTGGCCCTAATTTCTAACCTAGTTTTTTCAGAAAGTTCATCATTCAAATTCTCCCAACTCAGTTAACTTAAATGAATTCTATGCATATGTACAGCTCAAGGGCAATGAGGACTACATTTTTTATTCACAAACCAAAGCCTAATGATTCCTAAATAGAGAGATAGAAGTTTGAACTTTACTTATTTCAGTCAAGCTCGAGTATGGAAATGTAGGGGTTGTGAGTGAGGCCTGAGATACTTGTTAGCTTGCTTGAAGTTCCTTTGAGCTTTCCCAAGGCTTAGCCTGCTTTGAAATAGCTTGAATATGCTTGTAGAACTCAACCTGCAAATCAGAATTTGAAAATGGTGAAGTGTGTAAATGGAGTTACAGTGACTTGGAAATGGTTGGGATAGCTTAGGTATGTTGTATGGAGTGTGTTGGAACTGGTTGCAAGCAAAACGCACGAGTGGATTGTGATTTGGCTTATGATTTGCAAATCCTGCCCTGTTTTGGCAGAAAATGGGGTTTTTGGTGTACAAGGGTGTTTGAGAGGTTGCTAGCTCGTGTTTCTAGCTTAGTATAATGTGTTCAAGTTGTTTGAAATGTTTACAAACTTTGGTTTTATCAGATTGCAAAGTTATGGACTTTTGGCACCATGACTTGGTTTTGAAGCAAAAGGTGATTTTGACAATGCAAAGGCTTGTACAATCTAGCTTAGGGTCTGCACATAGTTGGTATACTTTTCCCTATCTTTGTGGATGTGGTTTGCTGCAAAAGATTAAGTCCAATGCTCAAGACAAACAAAAATGCAAAAGTTGTGCTTTATGTAAATGGCATTGTTGCCTTTGTGTAATCTTCTAAAGCTCAGAACAAAGCCTTAATCCATTGTGTTTGCATTCAATTTTTGAGTGTGGAAGTTTTTAAGGACATGTAAACCAAGTACAAGCATGGTTGGACAGAATTTGCAACTTGTAGCAACATGAAAAATGCCATGGACAAAAGTGATATTTTGACAAATTTCAATCCTATGATTCTCCCTAACCACAAACGATTTTGGAGATTTCTTGGACAATTTGGAAAGCTTGTAACATTCTATACAATCCATATTTGAAATTAATTTTTAGATTCCACTTGTAACTATGTGAAAAATTGCCATGAAGATAGGTCAAAATCCTGCCTAAACTAGGACAAAATTTCACTAAGTTAAAAGTTTCA